GTTTTGACAAAACCAAAGTATATCTCTTAACAATAACTCTGCCATTCAATGGCTCCTTGTGTTCTGTTCTCAGTTCTCACATTGAACCACCATTTGAGTGCCTAAATATCCTCCAAGGATGCCATCAAATGCACAGCTGGCAGCTGGCATATAGGGTTTCTTTTGTGTTCCTCCTCCTAACAGAAATATCCATAGATTGTAAGTTTTGAAAGAGCAGATATACTCATTTCTCCATGAAATGTCATGTGCTTTTATTAACAAAGGCTTAAGAAATGCTACTCACCATAGAGGAATTTTGATGAGCAAAAAATCAGTTCCCTAAGTGGAATTTGGCCACGACTGAATACAGTGTCCTGTCACACAGGTTCTAGATCTGTGGGTCCTTGGGAAAACAAAAGACAAGAGTCTGCAAATCTAAGACGAGGGCATGGCCCTAGCTCTTCAGTTTGATGGGTACAGGCCCACATAGCATAAACGAATGTATAGCTATTGCAGAGGCTCCAGCCCATGATACTGAAACATTTGTCAGTTGATCAGTAAGCTTTTGAGATTAAAAGATGCAGAGGAACAAAAATATTAAGAAACCACCATACCTCCCACACATTCAGAGGATGAATCATTAAGAGGCCAATTCTGCAAAGTGCTCCACACTTCTCTGCAGCTCTGCACAGGAAAAATTAAGCAATGACGTAAACCAAGAAAAAGTACCCTTTGCAACTGTCCCACCACCAACTGCTAGGAGCTATTCATTAAAAATCGCCTTTCTTTCCTCAGCCCACACATGGGGGTTCAGATGTCAGTAGCAGAACAAGTGATGTTCGAATTTAGCCCTGTCCACCTTTTTGATGATTCTTCCCAGCAACTGAAGGATAGAAGTGGACAAATAACCGGGGAGATTACTGGCATCTGTTGTTGGCTTTTCAAGCACTAGCTGAACTTCGATGTATCCTAGAATGGCTGGTGTTTTATCTGCTTTGGGAAAGGCAATCGTGATCAGGTCAGGCATGGGCCTAATTGCTTTGTACTAAATAAACTTGTGCTGTGCAAACCATTTAGACCATTTGTGGAACATGTGATGGGGAAACGATACCCTTATGCTATGGGAAGCAGGTGGAAAGCAAACCTGCATGTTTATTACTCACTGCTATTTGAGGTCTCATCAGTTTGGCATGCAAGAACAAGACTGCAGATGTCATCTACAGACATTCATTCATACTGAGATCTTTTAACACCACCTCTTAATCTTCAAGCTTATTTCATCTCAGTTCGAGGTTGAAGGGGTCAAGCATGAGACATGTATTTGTCTTCAGGAGCTGGAAGCCTGAAATCGTTGATAACCCAAGTAGCAGATTTCTAGAGAACAGCAGTAAATAATGTCACAAATACTTAGAAGAGGACAAGCAAGGAATATTTTTAAATAGTTCTTTTTACAGGCCTCACACCAAACAAACTACCACTTATTTTAAAGCCAGAGCTGCAAGTTTCTGGAAATCATAGTCAATGGTTGTTCATCAGTCTTAACAGATACCGGTGAAATGGGCAGTAATTTCATGGTTCACAGCGTTTCACTTCTTCATGTCCAAATTTTGTTTTGCTTTTTTCTTTTCATTTTAAAAGTGGTCATTTATCTACAGTAATACATTGATGTGGCATGGGTTGGGGTTTTTTTTGTTTATTTGTTTGTTTAAAGTGTATGACATATTGTGTCCTATTAAAAAAAGTTTGACTAAAGAATTATGCAAAAGACACTAATAATTTAAATACTTGTTCAGCCATATGGAAATGTACAATCTGTTTTATGTTCTGTGGGTGTGCTGGTTTTGGCTGGGATGGAGTTAATTTTCTTCGCGGTAGCTAGTATGGGGCTACGTTTTGGATTTGTGCTGGAAACGCTGTTGATAACACAGGGATGTTTTCGTTATTGCTGAGCAGTGCTGACACAGAGTCAAGGCCTTTTCTGCTTCTCACACCACCCCACCAGCGAGGAGGCTGGGGGTGCACAAGAAGTTGGGAGGGGACACAGCTGGGACAGCTGACCTCGACTGACCAAAGGGATATTCCATACCATATGACGTCATGCTCAGCATATAAAGCTGGGGGAAGAAGAAGGAAAGGGGGGACGTTCGGAGTGATGGCGTTTGTCTTCCCAAGTAACCGTTACGCGTGATGGAGCCCTGCTTTCAGATGGCTGAACACCTGCCTGCCGATGGGAAGGAGTGAATGAATTCCTTGTTTTGCTTTGCTTGCTTGCGCGGCTTTTGCTTTACCTATTAAACTGTCTTTATCTCAACCCACGAGTTTTCTCACTTTTACTCTTCCGATTCTCTCCCCCATCCCACCGGGGGGGAGTGAGCGAGCAGCTGTGTGGGGCTCAGTTGCCAGCTGGTTAAACCACAACTGTGGGAAACCTACAGTTGCTATAAACTTAACGAATTTTAAAACCTCCCATCCGTTATTTAATACAACAATTTGCTAAAGTAATAACACTCATTCTCTTACAATTTGCTGTACTGGAGATACTTAGAGATGAATCAGGGGTACAAAACTCTTTAAGTGATCAAAAATACTCTACAGTTCAGGAGGATGCAGCACTGGAGTTTAGTCCTGCTATCTCTGAAAATATTATCACTTCATCCTTATGCAAGGAAATGTCATTATAATATTACACAGAACAGAAAACATAACATAATAGTTGGGTTCATTAGTATTTTTTTCCATGTAATGCTTTATAAAAGAGATAAAGCTGAAGAAAATAAAACCAGACATGTAAATATTATGATGAAGTACATTGTTCTTATTTAAATAAATTTCCTTGAGCAATATCTTCTTGAAAGGTGAAAATTAACCACTAACATTTGTCTCACTGTATAAAAGTGACAGTAGTAATTATAAAGATGGTCTTATGCTTATTTCATCCTATTCTTAAGTTTTCACAGCAAAAATATTAAAATTTGCAATATTACTAAAAAGATGCAAACCTGTCAAATATATTACTCTGAAGTAAATTAACAATTAATTTCTAGGAACCTACCATAGGAACTATCAAGTGGACAGTAGTAATGTTTTCTATATAAAATCTATCAAAAATTGTTGGAGAAAATATACGAAGTGTAGCTGATAGCTGATGAAATCTGCAATATGGCCACAGAGAAGTAAGTTGCAGATCATCAAATTTAGCTCTTGTGCAGAAACATCCACCATGAGTTCATTAATTTCACTTTTCACTGGAGAACAGCAGGAGGTTTCCATAATGCAACCATCATAGGAAACTGATTCGATGCTGTACTTTAAGCTTTACCCGTAGTTGGAACTTGCAACAGTTTAGATTTTTTGGTGCTCTGATCTCTCTTGCTCTCCGGAAGGCTACGTAAATATAAAAATCTTCAGCAGAAAGACAACTCTCTCTAAAGCACTGGCAAGTGATCTTAGTAGAAGACTGTTCAAAAAAAGAAAGGAAAAAACAGACTTAGCTGGACTGGTAAAGCAACATTGGTAAAGCAATACAGTAACACTCTTGGACATAAACCAGCAAACTAGGTCATTGTTAGAAGCTGAGAGATTTGTGGGCTATGCCCTCCAGACACACATGCCCATAAACTCATGGAGCCCAGAGGACCCTTTGCAGATTTAAAGGTGCTCATCTGTCTAAGTGTTTTTTAGCCTGAGTCAACAGCCAAGCCCTGATCTTGCACCAATGAAGGCAAAGTGCATTTTCAACTAATTTGAATATCAAAAATGTCAAGTGATTGATTCTACCCAACCTCAGGCATTTAACTAAAGCACCTAGACAAGGACCTAATTAACCCAGGCTCTGGTCATCAACCACAGATGGAAAGCCACAACCTCAAGAAGGTGCTTCAGCCTTGCCCAGGTCAAGGATGACAGTGTTCCTAGCTTAGACATCTCAGCCAAGTTACTGAAATTAGGTGTGATGACCAGCTGTAGGTGTCCCTGTATATAATCAGCGTATGTGTGTTCTGCTCTACTGGGCCTGCATCCAGCGCTAGGACCCGCCAGAACTGTTTCTGGCTCTTCACCTAAATTAGGAAAGGGTTCTGCTTCCTATGGAGAGCGTTGGCAGCTTCCCCCCCTCTCCACTGGCTAGACACCAAAACTGTTCCCTTCTGAATTTGTCAACGTTTATTCAGTTCAAATTTTGAATGGAAGCTTAGCTTGTTTTATTTTTCTTCAGACAGGAACTTGCGAAGGACTTTTTTTTTTTAGTTAGTTAGTTAGCTGAAACTCTTAAGTCAGGAATAGAGCCTATAAATTTTCACTGTCCTATTCTGGCCGGTGGAGAACAAAGTCCCACAGATTATCCCATAGCAAGAGGAAAGCTCCAGTAATTTACTTAGTGGGTGTCTCACTTCGGTCCTCAAGGTCCTCCCCAAAATGGAGAAGATGTTTTCTAACTGCAAATTACTTGTTCCTGGGAAAAGCTTTGTCTCTACAGACGCTGGTCTAGGCACTGCTGATGCACCTCACCTCTCACAGGAGGTCCTAGTACTGCTGCAGGATTAGCTGTGGTGCGGTTGAAGGTGAATACAAGGACATTTGATTTTTATTTATTCCCAAATGGGGTAATACAGAGTTTCCTTGCTTCTCACTTCTCACCAAGAAGGTGACTTTACCCTCTTTTTATTTTACACCTGCACCACTGAGAACTAGCCCCTGGTCCAACCTTTAGAACAGTTATGCTGCAGCTGGAGAAGTAACGGCGATTCCCAGACCACCCAAGAGCAGCACAGGGAGCATTGCCACCTTGTTCAACGAATACATGCCAAGCACATAACATTAATTAAGACATACTGTACCTCCAGCTGTTTGGATCTTGATGTGTTTATTTCCTTCTAATCTTAATTAGAAAACAAAAGGTAAAGATGGTTAAAACATTGTAACGTATCACTAATTTAGAACACCATTTAAAAAAAACCATGCAACAAAGGTCCTATTGTTCCAAAACCAGCCACTACTACTACGGTTAATAGTGTTATTTTTCTTCATTTTTTTGTTTTGCAGCAAATTTTGGAAGCACCAGTCAGTGACTAAACTCCATGGTGTACATATGTGACAGCAGCATTTTGTGGTATTAAATCTAAACAATTATTACATGATTTCATAAATCTATGTTTTTGACTTGTCTATTAAGTACCTATAAACCTAATGCTTTTTCCCACTGTTTGAAAACATCACATGGAAAAGAAACAGTTTGCACTGAGTTTCATATAAGAACAGAAATAAACCCGAAAGCAAGCGCTTACTAACTGTTATTACTGGAATTCACCACAATGCAAGTAAACACCTTCAAAACCAAAAATAGCGCTGAGGCTCTGCAAGTGCATCTATCACAGCCTCTTACTCCTAACAGGGTTTTGTTTTCTTTGAATTCGCAGAGCACTCAGAGCGTGGAGAAGCTGTTCAGAAGACAATGTACTACATTGTCAGCATCTGCTCTAGGATCCTTCTGCAAAATAAGTGTGTTAAAATTTAAATAAATGGGAACAATCACTTTAAGGATTATAAATAGCCCCACTGCCTTAAGAGGCTCCAAGAGTAGCCAGTCTGTCTGAAATAATAATTGATTTTTAAAGGAACTACATCCTACTAGATAAAATTAAACTGAGAAAGCAGGAGAAATGCAATATGCAACCTTCCAATACCTTTCGGTGCAGCTTTCGTCTGACTGGAAACCACGGCAGCCGCGTCCGACGGCAGGCCAACATACACGCCACCATAGTTCCTGATTTAAAGAAACAATTAAAGAGACATCAGAGCTTAATTGTAACACTCCTCCCTATAATGTTGACATCACGCAGCAGCATTACAAAGACCATGGATGGTCAGAGAGGAGGGCACCTCTGCACAAGCATCCTCAGAGGAGCCCTCCTTTCCCATGGCTATGGGAAAAGTGCATATTAAGTGCCACGTGCTTGCTAATATGCTGCCAGGCAAAAAAACCCTTGAGGCTAGCTGTTACTCTTAAGTGGGACCCAAGCCTGTGAAAGGAGCTATTTTTCACTCAAGTTCCTAATATTTTTCATTAAATCCCAACTGTGTTGTGACAATAAACCCCACTAGCCCAGCTTCTTCTAGACACCGAATATATCCAACTGAGGACAGAGCCAATCTGATAGTAATGTTCGGCATTGGGACCACTGAAGCACCTCACTTCAAATAATGCACGCCAATTAAAGAGAACTTTGACCTCTCCTCGTTAATAAATAGGACCTGCATCCCCCTGCTTAGGGCCACACTTGGAGAAAACTGTTAGTAGGAAGGAGCATGAGGGTGTTAGGTACTTTCATAGCCCAACCCTCTCCCCTTCATGGCCTTGCAGAGTGCATTTTCTGGTTCCGAGGCCTGTATGAAAAGCAGGGACTGATGCAAGGAGGTGAAAAACTGGGTCCTTAAGAGCCTCTGCTGTGCCCGGAGCTACTTGCAGAGACTCCCATTATGCTGCTCTGCCCCGTTAGGTGCCAAATGAATCATGCCTCCTCCAGCTCCTGGGGCTCCAAGTTGATTTCTGATTTGTTTGATGATAGAGTCACATTTTCTTTGATTTCCAGCCCAGCAGAGATCTCCCACAGGTGCTAATGCCATTTTCTGTGGCGGGGCTGGGGTGAAGGCAGAGGTCACTGGCCCTTATCGAGCACACCACCTACAGCTGTGAGATAATGTGCTCTTCTTGCCACAAAGTTCCCCCCCTCTCCAACTCGCTAATCATCAACACTGGGCTCTGTGTGAGATATCCTCCTCTCTTTTCTTTTTTTCTTCTTCTCTGCTTTGGTGGTGTTGGTGGGAATTAGGAGGAGGAAAGGAAGGATGTACATCTGGCGGCAGAACTCTCTGCAGCCTCTTGCAAATAAAGACAGTCCTGGTAGAGCACCTACCTCCTTTTGTCATCATCTGATACAGATTCTTCTGCTCTATAACATCAAAAGATAGAAAGCACATTAGCAGATTGTTTCTTTCAGATACTCCATCACCATCTGGGTAGATTCAGGAGCAAGGGAAGAAGGGGATTAATACTGATACCAGTTTAATTCAGATGATCCACAATTCAATAAAGTATTCACACAGGCACAAAAAGAGTGACAATTTTGCAATCTAATGTACAGAAGAAAGAAAAGGATTGAGAATAGATGCAGCTTAGTTTTCATGACCCCCGCCAGTGATGCCTGAAAGTATGTTTGGGAGCTGAAATAGGTAAATAAACAGTTCTCCTGCGTGAGTCCCCACACTGCCCCAAACAGGAATATGAAGACTCTGCATATAACAGGAACGAGTCTGGGCTGCTATTCCACCAAAAGAGGACTGGAAGGGATTGGGCATCCATGCTGGCATGGGAATGAGGATGAAGAAAGATAAACTTTCACAGCAGCTGTGCCAAAAGATGTTACAGAACCTCTCCGTAAAATGAGGTACTGCAATTCCTGAAGTCAGAGTTGTTTGCAAACCAAATAACTGTTACTAATCCTTTATAAATGGGCAATTACTTCTCTTTTACCTTTAGGGTAAAATCACAGGTGAGTCTGTAGGTCGATAGGGATTCACTGCGGTTTGACTCCCCCCACTGAAATACTGTCCAGTGTAGCTGAACCAGGGCAGGGGGTAAAGTAATCAGCATCGATGTGAAGGCAAATGTAGTACAGAAAAGATAAAAATTTTATTCTTACTCCCTGAGGGTACAGTGCCTGTGCTGCAGTCTCAGTCTGTGCCCCAGTGTCACTCTTCACACAAACCACTCACCCACCTTTGATTAAATATTTGGACTTTGAGCTCTGCTTGCATGGCTGGGTATGGATCGGGGCAGCAGCTGCGTTTTAGCTTGGTCTGCAACCTAACAACCTAGCAATAAAAATAGAGGCAAGATAACTTGAGCGCTGTTAAGTCCACAGACATCCTTCACCCCTTCCCTACAGCTGGGGGCAACAGTGAGAACCGCCTGAGGAGTCCCGCACCGTAGCTGCTCAGGGAGCCATGGGATACGGTCACAGCGGTGCCTAGGGAAGGCTGCCAACAGCGAAGGCGGCACCACGACCCAAGGAGGGCTCTGCTGTGGAAATGCTCATGCACAGGCTGTTCACCCAGATATTCTCACCTGAATATTCCCATTGAAGGACCAATTGCCTGGACTATGAGGGCAACTCAAAGACACTCCCCATCATGAGCTGATCCATGAATTTCTGATCTGCTCCCCAAGCAATAAAACTGAGAACTGGCCTTTACCCAGCATTAGGGCTAAATCCATTCTGTAGCCTTGAAAGGCATTTCTGAACTATGATATTTAACAATAATATATGACATTTCTTATTGTAATTTATTTATTCTAAGGGGTAGATGTGCCTACTGTTTAATCGTCAGGGCTGTATGCCATTACTGACCCCTGAAGTCAATGGCATTTTGGCCCGAAGTGCAGAGAGCTCGTAGCAAGATGCAGCCTTAAATGCAAGAAAATGCCTCTTAAACCTCAGTCAGCACGCTCCTGGGAGGGTAGCGAATGCCTTAAAAATACTGCTAAAAGTTGGAAATTATCTTACACTTACCTTCTTTCTAAGTGGCAGAACATTACAAACTATCCTTTTTGCATCACCACAGTGAATAAGGGTACACAGGTCCTTTTAATAGTAGAGGTTTGGGGTAAATTTAAGTATGCTGCAGTTTTGCTAAATGATATTCACGGAAGGCATAGCACTGAGTGGAGTGAGCCTCCTTGTCTGCTGCCTTTGCCTACATCTTACCACTCAGGAGAGATGGAGCAATAAACTCCTCATTCTCTGGCGCTCCTGCCACTCCTCCCTGGAGGAGTTTCAGAAGGCATCTCCCATCTCCTCTGACCCCACGTAGCCTAAGCCACCTTGCAGTCCTCACACACGCAGCCGGAAAAATGCAGAGATAACTTTCCTTGAGGACTGCAAAGCTGCTCTGTCCTAGTGTGCACCAATTTCAGGTGAAGAAAGTGGAAAGCCTGTGTATGTCAGTGGTAGAAACGAGCCCTGTATTTTTAGCCAAAAAAATGACAACACTTTAAGAAAGGGACTTTGGGTGCCAAAAGATCACAAACAATCATTTCTGTTGAACCAACTGAATGTGTCACAGGATTGATTTTCTCATACAACTGGAAACATTTTCTATAATCCAGATTAACCATTATCCAGAGAAAAGAATCCTTTAAAAGCACTGGCAACTTCATGCGCAGTTCAAAGCCTCTAAAATGCAGTTGTAAGAATAATAATCAATATTGTCCAACAGGAAATTAATGTCAGTGTTTAAAAAAAAAAAGCCTCTACTAGGCAACAGGGCTATTTTCTTCTGTTCTAGAAATGTTCTGTAACAGGGCATCACTGGACCATTACTGTCATTCTCTCAGCAAAACAAATTATCCAAGTCTATGATTAAGCACACTAGTTTTTTTTAAACATTTTGCTTTCTTCCTTTCCTCTTAATAGCTACAAATCAAAGTCTAATTTTGCAATACCTTTTCCCTTAAACACACAATAGCAAATATAATCTGGGATTGTACAGGCCACAGCTCTTGCCTGGGTGATGACTGGGTGCAATCTGTTGTAGTCCTGCTAGGAAAGAGGAGGTGAGCAGAGACGGGAGGAACGTGGAAGCATGAGAGGGAAAAGAGAAAAATTCTGGTGATGGCACTTAAGGAAGAAGCCATTTTCCACCCCTTTCTGAGGACTCCTTTCTAAGCAGCATGGGAAGGAGTGCTGCTCCAGTTTATGCATAAGCACATTCACACACCTCTCGCCTTCACACACTGTAGCTTAAGGCCCCATTTTGAAAGATGTCCACTAATTTCACATGTTCAAATGTCCAGGTGCCAGCTGAGCCATTGCGGCAGGTGCTGCTTCTGCGCCCAGGCTGGGTGAACACAGGTGGCTCTGGGGAGCAGGGCTGCAATGGCCACACTGGACCACGTGGAAATGAGAATGGAAAGAAACTCCTTTGGTTTCGGCAGTGCTCCCATTGCCACATCTCCCAGACTCACAGAGAGGGTATGGGGATACGGGAGTCCAGCACATTCTTTCTCTCTCCTTCTCTACCTCTAATGCATCTTTAGCTTCTTCTTATATCAGGGACGAAGGAAGAACCTAGCATAAAAAGTATCTTTAAATACCTCCATTTACAGAGTCCTCCAGGAAAAGCAAGCTAGGATAAGCTTTTCTGCACCAGGAATAGAGGGCAAAAGGAACTTAGCAGTCCGATGTGCTTTGTACTGATCTGCTGCTGTGTCGCTGCACCTTCCCTCAGACGTTGTTGACATCTACGGCAGAGGATCTGAGAGCACGTTCTTCAGCAGGCGGCATAGGTGAAGTCCTGTAGCCGGTAAGCAGATTTAACAGCAAATCCACATAATGGCATTCTATTTTCAGCTAGAATAAATGTTTCTTTTGGTAAGGATTTGTCTATCCCAAGAGGCTTCCTGTCACCCTCCTAAGTCTGCAAAATATACTTGGTGCAACTGTCGGTTTTTACATCCATCAGTCCTATGTCCATTTGATGGTAAAAGAAGCTGCCATTTTTCACATAACATTTTAAATCACAAATGACAGGCATTCACATTAATTCATTCCATCCACATTTTTCTTACCTCAGCTTTTATGACTCCATGACGAGCATTACACAGACTCTTCCTAGCCATGCTCAGTAGTCCCACCAGAAATGATTCACTAAACTTTGCACAAGTGACAGACGACTACTCAGTTTCTCAGCATTTCTTGGGAACAAGGGCCTGTCATTTGTATTTGATGGATTTCTTCCCAATATTTTGAAACACGCTTGAACTGCTGTGTCCTTTCCTTCCTACTGTTATTAATCTTCCTCTGAACTTAGCCACATTCTGAAGATCACAGGCATTGCATTATTTTCTAGTATATACTTTACCCCTCCTGTATCTAAGCTTTTCCAGTTAGCAGTGATGTACTTCTCTTTATTAGTGGGGCAGGAGTGTTGGCTGAAGCTGGCCGACAGATTCACCGTTGATTTGAGGGTTGGAGTACACAGGGAGAGAGTACACGTTCCCAGACCATACGTCCTTCTTGTCGCCGTGCAGCCCTCAGTCTCGCAGCACTTTGCGTAGGAAGATCATATCATCATCCCTATCTTACTGGTGGAGAAACTCAAGGCCCAGAGGGCAAAGCAGCTTCCTTGAGGCCACTCGGGAGAGCTCAGAGCAGGATCCAGCCCTCCCTCCTTCCACCCGGCTGCTCACTCCAGGAGATGCTGGTGCCTTGGCAATGAGTCGCAGTCAAGAAACGAGAAATCTCCTGAGTTAGAATAACCGTATTCTGTATCAAAAAGTATGATATAAGTAAGGACACACCTAAATGCTTTTCTGGACCAGAGTCGATACAACTGAAATTTAACAGCAAAAAAAATGTGGGGTTTTTTAAAGAGAATTTTTTTTTTAATCTTTAGTTGATAAAAGTGAAAAGGTGTAAAATAAAAGCTTGTGTGGATCTATAATGTTAGCTAATATAAATCTGTTCATTTCCATGAAACTAAAATAGTTTTTCTGGTATTTTACTTCCTTTGTAAAAATCTGCTGTTGCATGTTAGGATGATTGATTTAGGACTTCGGGTCATCACTGCCATTCCTCATTAACAGATCTGTGTTTCTAATGTCTGACGAGAAGGCTCAACCATGCTATTACTCACACAGGTTGTTCGGCTGGCTCTGCTATCCTTATCTGAATGAGTAATGGTTCCAGGATTGACTCTTGCCCTTTGTTGAAGTCTGCACTAGTAATTTGTTTTTTCTAAGTTATCCCGATACTTTTTTGAAACATGACAGATGATCTAACACTAACAAGTAGGATGTTCCCAGTTTAACTCCTAAAGCCTGGCCCTACAAATGCTTACACACACACAAACGCAGTTCTACATATACCTATACCTTTAAGCACAGAAACGTGCCTACTAAATTCATAATTTAACAGTGCTTGCAATTTTGAAATTTAAAACTACCGAAGAGCAAAGAGAGAGATGCAGTTCTAAGTCAGTCACTTAAATTATCTAAACTGAACAACAAAAAAAGGCCCTAATATAAATTAAAAACAGTAGTTTTGTATATATCAAAGTGCTGAGGGCATGGATGCTGCAGGCTGTATCAAGAATAGGTTCCTCCTAAGCTTGCCTTCTGTAATTTATTTATTGTCTGACACTGCAAACCCAGAAAACAGACTACACGGGTAACACAGAACTCAAGAGTATCTGTGACAACAGTGTTCATCTGCCAAGTGAGACCTGTCGTTAGTTCTCAGCCATGCTCTGTAATAGCAAGGACAAGCCTGTTGTTAAGCTCTTCTCTCCACTTGTTTATCTGACTTGACAGCCCTCATCTCTACACCAGGACTCCTCTGTCTAATTAGAGTAGTTATTCTAAATGAAGTAAATAAAACTGAAGAATGTTCCTATTGCATAACATGAAAATCTTTCCCAGGTCCCCCAGTCTCAAACTCTAGTGGCAAATACCAATTACATGAAATAGAAGAAGGCAAGACCTCGGGAGGACGTCTTTAATGTTTCCTTTGATAGGAAAATAAAGTTATGGCTGAACAAAGCTGTTCCTGCACATTTCTACATCAGCAAATGAAAAATGGGCTGAGAAAGGCTGATCTTTTGCTGCTGCTTTTCTGAAAACCAGAAGTTGGCAAGGGGCAACAGGACAATAGAGGTTCAGACCTTCCACATTTAGAGAAAAACAGGATGGGTAGGGCTGCCCTCTGCTACTCAGCGTCAAAGATAAGGGAGAGAAAGAGGAGCCGACAGATACTATCTTCAATGTGGAGAACATCTAGAGAATGTGGGTACTTTGAAAAGGAAGTCTGGATGGGTTACGGGGTCTCCTGCGAAGAGGGAAAATTTGCCTCAGTGGCTCTTTAAATCTCCCACAAGGCTTGGTGGAAATTTTTGTGGTCGTTTCATACAATGACATGGCCTTTGGAAAAAGGTGTACTGGTACATGACAGGGAAGAGTAGTCTGAAGTAACATGACCACCTCTGGGAGACAACTCTCCCAACAGACGCAGAGAAAAGACATTTCTGTTAGAGAAATAAGAAGGGAAGGAATCTGTAGAAAAGTAAACAAGACATGAAGTTGTTTTGCGGAGATGGAAGCTGTCACTAAAGACAATAAACATCTGCTGGTGTTGATTATATGTTAGGAGCCAGATGAATCAAGTATGACTAAATCTAGTATAAGGCTAGTAGGACTAAAGATAAGTCCACAGTTACATATTTGAAAGAGTAGAGTAAGTACTTACACATCTTTAGTAGTCCCTGTGGCACCTAGAATGAAAAAAAAAGTGCACGTTTACAAGATAATGGCATAATCCTCTAAACCAACCAGTACAACGGTAAGCATTTTTCGGCCTTTCCGTCCTAAACAACGCAGAAATAGCAACAGGAATTTTCTATTGTCAGAGAACAGGTTTTTCATGATTGTCTAGTTTATCTTTAATGATTATCTACATTATTCCTTAAGTCTATCATGCTTAGATCTGGGCCAGATTCTCAGTGGATGAAAATGATGCTGCTGTGGACCAGTGCCCAGCTACAGTCACTCAGGAGGAGAGCAACATAAGATAAAATTCATCCTTCTGAACTTTATATCATAGAATCATAGAATCATTGAGGTTGGAAAAGACCTCTAAGATCATCGAGTCTAACTGTCAACCCAACACCCATGTCCACACTAAACCATGTCCCTAAGTGCCTCATCTACTCGTCTTTTAAATACCTCGATGGATGGGGACTCAACCACTTCCC